TCTCTCCTAAGGATTATATGCTGAAACAATGGCAAATGAGAAAGCAGTATCTAGGTGCATTCACTGACTGTTCCAGAAAACCACTGTACATTAATTCTAGCACTAAAACAGCACAATATTCAGAAAACTATTTGGGACCTAAAATTTCATAAGATCAGAGATGGGAAAAGTCGTTGAACTATTAAAAATTATTCTACATATTTTGAAAGTTACCATTTTGTATTTAATTTGCTTTCTTTCCACATCCCAAGAAAGACAATGCTGTTTGAACAGATCTTGTCTAAACAGTAGGTGGACAGAAGAGGTATTCTTCGAGACTTAGTTTACAACTTCAACAGTATTATTAATCACATACTCATAAAAATTATGACTGGGAGTCTGAGAGCGGGAATTGAGGATGACCTCTGCCAGAGTTCAGCAGGTCCCATCTGTATGGGGAAATCACGACGGGGCCACAGCGGAGGCCCCCAGCAGCAGCCTGCCCCTGGCTGCCTGCTGGTTCCCAAACACGGGCCAGACATGAGCTGCACACGCTGCCAGGATCAAACAGAGGCAAAAAGCCACTGCTTATTTCATGGAGACTTAGAAATCAACTTTAACCAAATTACATGTCTGCTCTAAAGTTCCTCTATGTCAACAAAAGCTCACCACCAGCTCAGGATAAAAACATTCATATTTGAACAAGTAAGCGGTACCAACAAAACAGTAAATTGTCCTTCCTTTTCTAGCCTTCATAAGACAATTTTTTAAAAACTCATCTACCCTTCAGAGTCATCCAGATGAATGATACATAAGTCAAGTCCAGGACAGCATCTGTTTTTGTTCCTGACGCTGCCGGCTCTGGTGCACCGGCAGCAGGAGGGGCTGCAGCCAGGAGGGAACAACGACTTCTCGTCCCTATTTTCTGAACCTTATTTTGGAATAACTTCGGAATACAAGAAAATTTCCAAAATCTGCTATGGAAAATTACTTCTAGAGTCTCTGCATATGAACATCTTACCACATTTATTTACTGTATCACTAATCTTGTCTATTTATGCAACCACGCATGTAATTTTCCCTCTTAAATATTCAAGGATAAGCTGCAGAGAAGATGCCATTTTACCTCTAAATACTTCAGCACGCATTTCCAGAAAGGAAGGTAAGTCTTTTCTGTAATCCTAGTACCACAGTCAGAATCAGAGTGCAATGACACAACAACATCAGTGCTCAACCTGCACACCTCACGCAGATTTCACCAACTGTCCCACTCATGACTTTCCCTACGTGTTTTGTGGTTTAGGATCCAGTCCAGGATCCCACGTGGCATTTAGTTCTCATGGGTCTTCAGTTGCCTTTGATCTAGGGAAACTGCTCAACTTTTGTGTTTGACCTGATGTTTCTGAAGAGTAGACACCATTTATTTTGTAGAATGTCTTTCCATTTGGTTTGCCTGATGTTTCTTCTTGATTATTTTTCAGATTATATATGTTTGGCAAGAATGACACAGAAATTCTCAGAGCATCATAGCAAGAGACATACAATGCGGACTTATTCCACTACCAGTGAGGTTAGTCTTGATCATGTGGTTAAATGCAAGTTTACTACATTGTCAGGGCACTACTTCCACATTGTGATTAGTAAGTATTTCATGGGCAGACATTATGAAGCCATGCAAACACTTTCTTCTCAAATTTTCACCACTACTCCCAGCAACCACTGATGATTCTTAATAATTTAGTGTTTGCCAAACTAAATTTATTACTCTGAAATCTACATTAAGAAAGACTGTGCCTTCTCCCACATTTATCTGACCTACCTATTTATGTCAGCACTAACTCAAGGGCTCTTATTTCATTCCACAGATTACGAACCATTGCAAGCACTGTTTATTATGTGGCTAAGTTTCCTCAGACTTGGCCAATGGGAGCCCCTCCTAGCTGGCCCCTATGTCTTTTTGTCATTTTCTGAGCGCCTGCTTGCTTGCTTATGTGAGATGCCTCAGATTCACCTTGTATTCCTCCTGAATACAAGGGACATTCTATCACAGAGCTCTGGTTCCAGGTAGTCCTTCCAGAGGAAAGGACATTGACAAGGCACAGTACAGCCACCTGACAACAAATAACTATCTTCCCAGAATGCCAATAGTGAACATATGCGCTATTTACACATTCTCAGTCTATGTTAAAACCCACACATTCATAACTGATACCTCCAATTTTTTTTTTAAAGAGCTATCTTATTTATTTGAAAGACGGAATTAGAGAGAGAGGTAGAGACAGAGAGAGAGGTCTTCCAACTGCTGGTTCACTCCCCAGAAGACTATAATGGCCGGAGCTGCGCCAACCTGAAGCCAGGAGCTTCCTCGGGGTCTCCCATGCAAGTCCTTGGGCCATCTTCTGTTATCCCAGCCCATAGCAGAGAGCTGGATAGGAAGAGGAGCAGCCAGGACTAGAACCGGTACCCATATGGGATTCTGGCGCTTCAGGCCAGGGCTTTAATTTTTAAATTTTTAAGTGATACCTCCAATTTCAACCCAACACCACGGGATTCATTCTACCCCTCTTCATCCCCACTGTCTGTAACTGTCTTTTCTGACAGGTAAAAACTTGGCTGCCACCATATAAAACACATATACTTATTTCCACAATCCCAGAATATGCATAGACTAGTTTGAGAACTGCTAACACATAAAGGATGAAAAGCAAACCTACTAACTAGAAATTAATGCCTGTTTATACATTCCTTAACTTGAGAATTTATATAGTTTATTTTTTGAAAGATATATTTATTTCAAAGTCAGAGTTACACAGAGAGAGGAGATGCAGAGAGACAGAGAGAGGTCTTCCATCCAATGGTTCACTCCCCAATTGGCTGCAACGGCCGGAGCTGCACCAATCTGAAGCCAGGAGCCAGGAGTTTCTTCCGGGTCTTCCACATGGGTGCACTAGAACCAGCACCCATATGGGATGCTGGCACTTCAGGCCAGGGCGTTAACCGGCTGTGCCATAGCGCTGGCCCCGAGAATTTATATAGTTAAAACACTTTACGGCCAGTGCCGCAGCTCACTCGGCTAATCCTCCACCTAGCGGCGCTGGCACACCGGGTTCTAGTCCCGGTCGGGGCGCCAGATTCTGTCCCAGTTGCCCCTCTTCCAGGCCAGCTCTCTGCTGTGGCTAGGGATTGCAGTGGAGGATGGCCCAAGTGCTTGGGCCCTGCACTGGCATGGGAGACCAGGAGAAGCACCTGGCTCCTGGCTTCGGATCAGTGTGGTGCGCTGGCCGCCATGGCTGGCGCACGGCGGCCATTAGAGGGTGAATCAACGGCAAAGGAAGACCTTTCTCTCTCTCTCTCTCTCTCTCTCTCTCTCTCTCACTGTCCACTCTACCTGTCAAAAAAAAAATTTTATTTATTTATTTATTTGGAAGAGTTACAGAGAGAGAGAGACAGACAGATATTCCATATGCTGGTTCACTCCCCAGTCAGGGGAGTCAGGGTTGAGCCAGGCCAAAGCTAGGATGCATAATCATAATCTTCAAGGGTTTTCCAACATGAGTGGCAGGAGCCACTCGGAGCATCCTCTACTGCTTTCCGAGGCCATTAGCAGAGTGCTGGATTGGAACTGGAGCTACAGGGACACAAAGCGGTAGCTTTACCTGCTACGTTACAACACACCCCCTCCACCGGCAGTTCTCAACAACCTCCTTTATATAAAATGACACAAAAGAAAAAAGTAAACTAAATCTAAGTTATCATTTTGTTTAATTTTCCTGGTTCCAAGTGCTCAGTGTACAGCCTAACTGAAGAGTCCTCAGGTGGGGAGATGATGGTTCTTTCCAGGAAATGAAAAAAGTGGTGACTTCAGACAAAAGGCAGGAGAGAAACTGGCAAAAATTACTCTGCAGAACCCAAGATGGGCTGTGTAGGCCATGTAAAGGAAATGGGAAGACACAGAAGGGTTTTAAGTAGAGAAGTGATTGTGACATGGTAATATTAAAAGAAGTAATTAGGCCGGCGCCGTGGCTCCCTTAGCTAATCCTCCACCTGCAGCACTGGCACCCCGGGTTCTAGACCCAGCTGGGGCACCAGATTCTGTCCCAGTTGCTCCTCTTCCAGGCCAGCTCTCTGCCAGTGGTCCAGGAAGGCAATGGAGGATGGCCCAGGTGCTTGGGCCCTGCACCCGCATGGGAGACCAGGAAGATGCACCTGGCTTGTGGCTTCAGATCTACGCAGCGCACCAGCCGTAGCGACCATTTGGGGGGTGAACCAACGGAAAAAGGAAGACCTTTCTCTCTGTCTCTCTCTCTCTCACTGTCTAATTCTGCCTGTCCAAAAAAAAAAAAAAAAAAAAGAAAGAAAGAATTATATATTTGGTCTCTGGTCCAGGTTCTAGTAATGAGCTCCTAAGACTCTCAAAATTTCCTGATTGGCAGGGGTGAGAGGAACATTGTTCAATATTCACAGTAAATTTCTTTCAATCATACCTGAGCTTATGCTAATCAGTGACTCTTAGAAGACAGGGGTTGATGGCCAATGTTTTGGAACTTACAGCCTTACCCTCAGACCACTGAGGAAGGAAGAGGAGCTGGCAACCGACTTGAATCACCAGTGGCCAATGATGTAATCAGACATGCCTACCTAAGGGCTGGCACTGTGGTGCAGCTGGATAAGCCACCTGTGCTGTCAGCATCCCATATCAGAGTTGCTGCGTTTCAGATCCAGCTCCCTGTAAATGCACTGGGAAACCTGGGCCCCTCCGACCCACTTAGCAGATCCAGATGGAGTTTCAGACTCCTGACTTCAGCCTGACCATTGAGGCCGTTTGAGGAGTGAACCAGTGGATGGAAGATCCTCTTCTCTCTCTGTTACTCTACCTTTCAAATAAAGAAAAACAAATCTTTAAAAATACACATATACATTCACTCAAGGGAGCCTGTACTAAAAACTGTGAATAATAGAATTTTAAGAGCTTCCAGAATGATGAACACACAAAGGCATTAGGAGGGAAGGCAAGCTCAGAACATGGGAACCCATGCCTCTACCTCATACTTGGCCATGCTCATCTCTTCTATCTGAAGTGGGGGGCCATATCCTAGGAATGATCCCTTAACCTGATGCCCCTTCAGGTAGATGGTTTCAGAAGTGAACCAAATTGAAAGGACAGAGAATTGGAGAATTGTCTGCAGAGAATTGGGTAATTTCTTGGTAGGGGGAAAACCTCTATACATTTGGGGTCAGAATGCTGACAGTGAAAAGGAAAAACATTTTTCCACTTAAAATAATTAGTCTGGTACTGCAAAGAGATGATTCTGTCCCTACTGAAGAACAGACTGGTAAAGGTAAAAAACATTTGCCGAGAGCCCATTTTGGGAAGCTATGCACTAGACCACAATGCACACAGCAGTGGCACGGGCTAAAGCAAAAAGCATCAAAAGTCATCTAGATGAAGTATACAGAGACAGCCCCTCAGGACGCCCCGGAAATCACTCTTCTCCAGGGTACTTCTGACACTCCGCACACAAAGCTTCCTTGTTCAGCCATTATCCTCCAAATCACAGCTGAACCAATCACACCTACTTTGCTTAAATACCTCTTCCCTCTTCTAGCTATTCTATACTTTCTTCTGAGACAGCTTCTCCATGGTCAGTCAGGTCTATTATATGCTTTCTATCTTCACAGAACATTCCATTCACCCCTCTCCTCAGCTGAAACCCTCAATGCCCTCGGTGACATCACCTCCAGCAGCCCACATATGCCTCCCTGTAATCCACTGCCGTGCCAAGGACATCCTTTCTTCTAAACCTTGGAGAAACTTCTGCTAACCTGGAGGCTCACTTCAGCTATAAAACCTCCTCCAGTTCCCTTTCACGCACCACATCCTTGCCACAACCCAACATTCACTAACGATACAGTACCTGGCTTACCATCTTTCTTCCCGTCCTAACTCATGCCATTCCCTGTGCGGATGATCCACACAACACCTGCATCTCAGTTCTACCGGCCTCACCTCAGATAATGCAGTCATCTACCCTAGCCACCTGGTGTCTCACACACTACAGTCTTCTAATCCTCAATAACTGTACCAAAACCCTCAATTCAAAGATTACCTATTCCAGCACAACTCCCTTCCTCTCAGTTCACTTCCCAGTTACCTTCAAACAATCAAAACTGGCTCTTCCAATCTACACTGTGGGACATTCTACAAGTCAATTGCCTAGACTTCTAAAAAGTTAATGAAGTAAAATACAAAGGAGGGCAAGATAATAGAGACATAACAAAAAATATTGTGTAAATTCTGATTGGACCATGGGTGAGGTTAATAAAAAGGACTAACAAAGGTGATAGGATGTTTGGCGTAGTATCAGCTTGGAATGCCCACATCTCATATCAGAGTATGTGGGTCTAGTCTTGACTGTTCTGCTTCTGATACAACTTCCTGCTAATACATCCTGAGAACAGCAGATGATGATTCAAGTACTTGAGTACCTGCCATCAACATGGGAAACTTGGTTGGAATTGCAGGCTCCTGGCTTTGGCCTAGCCCAGCCCTGCCTACTGGAGGCATCAGAAAGGTGAGGCAGCAGATGGAAGATCTGTGTGTGTGTGTGTGTGTGTGTCTGTCCTTCTAATAAAATGAGAATGAATACATATGTATACATATACATACATATATGCATATGCCTCATACATACATATACATATGCCTCATACATACATATGCATGTATGTATATGTATACATATGTATTCATTCTCATTTTATTAGAAGGACAGACACACACACACACACACACACACACACACATAGACCGTCCACAGAACACTTTAGGGATAACTAGGTAGAGCTGAATATGGATTATACACTAGTTGATATTATTAGGTAATTATTAATTTCCTTCAATGTCATAATGGGGTTGTGGTTCTCTGAGAACATGATTTTAGCCTTATGGTGCATGGTGAAGTATATATGAGCAATGTGTCATGATAATTGCAGCTTCTTTTTAACTAGATCAGGAAAAAAACAGAGGAGATAATGAAGAGAGGAAAAAGAGGAAGAGAAGTGAGGAAGAAGATGGAAAAGGCAAAGGGAGCATACAGCAACAAAGCAAATGTCTAAAAGTTTAACAATTATTCCAGCTGAAGAATATAGAGGTATGTACTGTACTATTCATTCAACTTTACTATAGGTCTGAAAATACCTTAAGGGGTCAGCATGAAGGCTTAATGGGTTAAGTTGCTGCCTGCAACACCAGCATCCCATACAGGTGCCAGTTTGAGTCCCAGCTGCTTCACTTTCTATCTGGCTCCCTGCTAACACATCTGGGAAAGCAGCAGCAAACAGCCCAAAATTTGGGCCCCTGCCCCCACCTGGAGACCTGGCTGAAGTTCCTGTCTCCTGGCTTCAGCCTGGTCCAGCCTGGCTGCTGCAGCCATTTGGGAAGTGAACTAGTAGATGGACGATCTCTCACTCTGTCTCCCTCTCTATCTGTAATTCTGCCTTCAAAAAAAAAATAACAAATCTTAAAAAAAAAACCTAAAAAAAAAAAACAACTAAACCAAAAACAACAAGAATAACCCCTCCTGAATAAACCCTTAAAGCATAAAAAAAAAAAAAAGAAATTCATTCTAAGGTATTACATTATTACATCCATATCTTTTATTGTGTTCACTTAAACACAAAGAAAAATATTTTAGGAGGAAGATGGCAGGTGTACAGCCTAGCAGATAATATGCCTGTGTCCCACATCAGAATGCTTGGGTTTGAGAGCTGGTGCCTCTTCCGCTCTGCACATTCCCACTAATGCAGGCTCTGCAAGGCAGAAGATAATGGGGGTCCTGCCCACGTGAGAGACCTGGATTGTGTTCCCAACTTCTGGATCTGGCCCTAGCCATTGCAGGCAGGCATTTGGAGACAATCAGAGGATGGAGTGCACCTGCTTGCACTCTCTACTGCTTCTCAAATAAAAAATAAGGAAAAAAAATTAGGATGGGATGATTTGAGAGTGCACTACATTCTTTTCTGCAAATTGCTTTTCCACTTTAACAACACACATGGACATGCCTTTATGTCACAGCTGCATAGTATCTTATGGTAAAGATGCATTATAATTTATTCACTCATTCATCCATTTGATGCATGCTGTGGTTGGTCAGCACTTTGGCTACTACAAACAATGCTTTTGTAAATGTCCTTGGGAACATCATCCTTAACTCTAAAGGAAAGATTCCCGAAAGCTGAAAAGCTGGCTCAAAACGCATGCACTTTTATTTTAACATCCAATGCCATATTATTTTCTCAGAAGATTATGAGCGATCTATCTCTTCCCTTCTCTCTGCAACTCTGCCTTTCAAATAAACAAATAAGTAAATATTTTTAAAAATGTACAAGTCACACTCCAAAGATGTCTGAGTGTCCCACACTGCCTTCATTTCTCCACATGTTAAGTTGTCAGTCCTTTTTAAAATGCTGCCATTGCACTGCAGAGGAACACAAACTAAAAATTCTCAGCAGAATCATCGACAAGTCCCAACACAGTACCCTGTTACTTCCAAGGGATCGCATGGGAGAGGCGAGAAAAGAAAAATGTGCTGCCCACTCCTTGAATTCCTACAAAGTTACATCTTACTTATCTGTTCTGTTCATGTGTTTCCCAGGCCAAATATAAGAGAAACTCCTTAAAATCAGGAGTGGTATCATTCTTTCATTCATTCACTTGTTCATCCAACAAATATTTATTAATCACCTATCATGTGATTAACTATTAATCAACTATAAGCAACAACAATGTGCAATCAAAGAAGATTAAACACCATCAGTGCCCTCATGCGTGTAATATTCTTATGGGATAATCCAACATTTAGCAATTAATTACATAATTATTTTATTACAGTGATGGTAAATGCTCTGGACAAGCATTATCACAGGGTGCAATGAAAGTATATAACTAGAGCACACAGTATTTGGAATGACTTTGATTTTCAATATTATTTATTGTGATTTAATACATTTGATATCGGCGATTGATAATATAATTTATGACATATGACTTTTAAATATGTGGTTTTATAATTGTGATGAGACAGAGTAGAAGATGGAATCTAGTACAGAATCACATGAGCTAAGAAAGTAGCAAGCCCTTTATATCTCCTTCCCTCATCCTCACCACTAGTTTTTCAGGTTGAGACTATCAATCTATTCTTAGATTTATTTATTTATTTATTTCAAAGGCAGAAACACAGAGAAAGAAGAAGGGAGAGAGGAAGAGAGATGTATCTTCTATCTGCTGGTTCACTCTCTCCCCAAATGCCTGCAAGGCCAGAGCTGAGCCAGTCCAAAGCCAGGAGCCAGGAGCTTCTCCCGGATCTCCCACATCGGTGCACTCCCCAAGCACTTGGGCCATCCTCTACTGCTTTCTCAGGCACAATAGAGGGAACTGGACAGGAGGTAGACCAGCCAGGACTTGACCTGGTGCCCATATGAGACACCAGCACTGCAGACGCCACCATTTATTAGTTAACAAATGGGAGGCTAAAAGGAAAGAGAGGGAAGAATTTCTCCTAATCTAACAAGGAAAAAACTGGAATGCAAAAAAGAAGGAAAATGTTGATTGCAAGGCTTAATTGTCATTAGACGAAAATGAGCAGGAAAAGGCAGATGCAGAATAAGCATTTGGCTTAGCAGGTAAGGCACAGGTGGGACGCCCATGTCCCCTACCAGAGTGCCTGGGTTTGACTCATGGCCTCACTCTGGATCCCAGCTTCCCTGAAGTAAAACCTATGAGGCAGGCCGGCGCCGCGGCTCACTAGGCTAATCCTCTGCCTGCTGCGCCGGCACACCGGGTTCTAGTCCCGGTTGGAGCGCCGGATTCTGTCCCAGTTGCTCCTCTTCCAGGCCAGCTCTCTGCTGTGGCCCAGGAGTGCAGTGGAGGATGGCCCAAGCGCTTGGGCCCTGCACCGGCATGGGAGACCAGGGGAAGCACCTGGCTCCTGGCTTCAGATCAGCGCGGTGCACCGGCCGCAGCAGCCATTGGGGGGTGAACCAACGGAAAAATAAAGACCTTTCTCTCTGTCTCTCTCACTGTCCCCTCTGCCTGTCAAAAGAAAAAAAAAGAAAAACCCAAACAAAAAAATAACCCTATGAGGCAGTAGGCAAAGGCTCAAGCACTTTGGGTCCCTGCTACCCACATAGGAGGCCTGCACTGAGTTCCCTGCTCCTGGCATTTGGGGAATAAACCCAAATGTATGTTTCTTCCTCTGTATCTATCTTTGTCTCTTTTTCTCTTCCTCTTAAATAAAAAAAATAAAAAAAAAAGCCAGATATGCAACAAATGGGGGAGGTTCCTGACTCTGCTCAGGGCCATTAACGTATAATTGTACAAACTGTTCACTTCACAAATGCACTCAGTCAGGGGCAAAGCAAGGGCTTGGCACGCTCCACTGCTAACTTGGGCTTCCTACCTTGGAGTGCGATGTGCATTTATTGTTTCATGCAAAGCTCTAATCCACTTGCCAAGCTTCAGATGCTGTGGCTGTGTCCACAAGAGGGAAACCATTTTGAATTTGTAAAAACTTCCATTCGGTCTACAGAGAGGTATTCCATCACACTCCATCACCCTTCTATCTCTTTAGCCTCCAAATCTAGCCTCCCACTCATACCGAGGGAGCCATGAGGAAGGAGAACAATAGCTTCTCTCCTCTGTTTTGACCCATGCTATCTATTCATAATTCAAAGTGAGCTTATATCTTCAACTTTAAATGTGATATGAAATCCATTATTCTGAAGTTAAAGATTAATTCATGTTGATCTAAAGTACTTTTTTCATTACTATTGAAAAGGTGCTGATAAAATCAAGAATGTAGTTTCCTCCTTCAAGGGGGTTAAAGTTAACTTTGCTTTAATTAGCTAAATGTAATGGCTGCCCCTAATTCACTTATCACTACACACCCTAATAGGGAATAACATCACATGTTATTGAACATTAGAACTATCATACGTGCGTGAAGAAGCAAAATTGCACTTCCCAGAAAACAGTTTGCTCTAATCAGAGAAGCAAAAAGCTAAGAGCTAATCGCACTATCTTGAAACTAGTCAAATGTAGGTCTCTATGCTTTATTATTGCCATACTTTTTTCAAATTCCCGGTTTCAAAAACACAAAACAAATACATAGAAAATAATATAGCAAAACTGGTATTAAGTTGCAGTGGCCAATGGCTCTTTCTGCTGAAATTTTGCATTTTACATATAATTGCAACCAGTAATCACTACACTTCTACATTCTCACCTAGAAAAAGTCATAAATCCTAAGTTTGATTAAATAACTTAAGATACGGGGTAGGTGTTTAGTCCACTGGTTAAGAAGCCAGTTACAAAGCCCATGTCCCACATCACAGTATGTAGGTTTGATCCAGCTATGGCCCCTGATTCCAGCTTCCTGTTAATGCAGACCTTGGGAGACCGGGGTAAAGGTTCAGTGGGTCCCTGACACCTACATGGGAGACCTAAATGGAGTTCCCAGCTCCTGGCTTTGACCTGGCCTGGCCTTAGCCATTTTAGACATTTGAAGAGTAAACCAACAAATGGGAGCCGTATCTGTGTATATGTGTTTTTGTTCAACAAATAAAATTTTAAAATATATGTGTATATACACATGCATATATTTATAAATACATTATAGGACTACTAAAGAAAATGAAACAACTATACTTAAACCTCACTTTAATTAATTCAAGCTTTTTTTTTTTTTTTTTTTTTTTTTGGACAGGCAGAGTTAGAGTGAAAGAGAGAGAGACAGAGAGAAAGGTCTTCCTTCCGTTGGTTCACCCCCCAAATGGCCACTACGGCTGGTGCACTGTGCTGATCCGAAGCCAGGAGCCAGGAGCCTTCCCCAGGTCTCCCATGCGGGTACAGGGCCCAAGCACTTGGGCCATCCTCCACTGCACTCCCAGGCCACAGCAGAGAGCTGGACTGGAAGAGGAGCAACCGGGACAGAACCAGTGCCCCAACTGGGACTAGAACCTGGTGTGCTGGCACCGCAGGTGGAGGATTAGCCTAGTGAGCCACAGCGCCGGCCTCAAGCTTTTCTTATTTCTATTAAAATATACAATAAAGGGCCTGTGCTGTGGCATAGTGGGTCAGCACCGTATATGGGTGCGGTTCCAGTCCCAGCTGCTCCACTTCCAATCCAGCTCTGTGCTAACGTACCCGGGAAAGCATGAGAAGATGGCCCAAGTGCTTGGGCCCCTGCACCCACGTGGGAGACCCAGAGGAAGCTCTTGGCTCTTGGCTTCAGATCTGCCCAGCTCCAGCTGTTGTGGACATTTGGGAAGTGAACCAGCAGACAGACAGACAGATCTCTCTCTCTCTTAGCCCTCCACCCCCATCCCTACTCTGCAACTCTGCCTTTCAAATAAATAAATTAATCTTTAAAAGAAAAAAACACAGTGAGTAAACAGTCCATGGAATCCTCTCCTAAACATTCAAGGTGTTTCCTAGAACTGGCTCCCTAGAACTAGGGTCATATACAACAAGACCACAAATGTTTCTTTTTACCTCGAATAACGTAATTATCCAGCGCATCTTCCATTCTCTTCAGTGCTTCAGTTCTATCAGAGCCGTATGTGATTAACTAAAAGCAAACAGAAACCAATGTATGTCTATCTATATGTTAAATGATTCATTCTAATAAAAATTAAAAACTTTCCTAACAAACTTACCATGACATCTTTTGAAATAAAGTGGTTTAGTTTTTAAGCTACTTCAATTAAGAATTTTTAAAGTAAATAAATATTAGAATCAAGCTATTTCAGACTCTTCTATATTTGCATGCCACAGTAAAGAGCTATTAACAGAAACAAATATAAACGAAACAAAAATAAGTATAGAAAAAAATTTAAAAGGAGTTCTATCAAAATGTGAACATTTGGAATAGGATGTGAACAACTGGGATCATGGTTGGCTTAGGTAAGGCTTTTTTTGTTTGTTTTTCTCTATTTTCCTGTGGTTTCCAAATTTGATATCCTCAATAGCTATAGTTCTATAACTCATTAAAAGTAAGAAAACTTTTTTGCCTTTTTTTTTTTTTAAATTACGTATTTGCAAGGCAAAGAGACCAATAGAAAGAGAAAGCCCTCATTGGCTCCTTCAGTCCCCTAATACCCACAGTGGCTGCAGCGTGGAGGTAGCAGCCCTGTCCACATCAACCCACCAGGTGGCAGGAAGCTAGTTACTGGAGCCATCACCACTGCCTCCCAGGGTCAGCATCAGCAGGAAGTTGGAATCAGGAGTCTGAACCCAGGCAATTGCTGTGGGATGCAGATGTCTTAACCAGTAACCTTAACCACAGGCCAAACATCCACCCAAGGCAAATTTTTAAAAAGCAAAGTAAAAATTAAAAAGAAGATGAATTTAAGAACCATTCACAGTTTTACACATATACCACAGAAGCAGAGGGTACTTGATATTGAGCCGCTGCGCTGGCCAGCTGTTTTTCTGAATAGAAATATGTTTAGCAAAAAATGGAAACATGCCTATTTAAAAATCAATCTATAGGGCCGGTGCCGTGGCTCAATAGGCTAATCCTCTGCCTGCGGTGCCAGCACACCGGGTTCTAGTCCCTGTCGGGGCGCCGGATTCTGTCCCGGTTGCTCCTCTTCCAGTCCAGCTCTCTGCTGTGGCCTGGGAGGGCAGTGGAGGATGGCCCAAGTGCTTGGGCCCTGCACCCACATGGGAGACCGGGAAGAAGTACCCGGCTCCTGGCTTCGGATTGGCGCAGCGCCAGCTGTAGCAGCCATTGTGGAGTGAACCAACAGAAGGAAGACCTTTCTCTCTCTCTGTCTATAACTCTCTCTCCGTCTATAACTCTCACTGTCTAACTATTCCTGGCAAAAAATTAAAAAATAAAAATAAAAAAATCAATCTATAATGTTATGTACTTTAAATGGTGTTTCTCTAGGAAACAAAATGATGTCAAAATGAAATAAGGCTCATTTTAATATTAGTATCCAAACTTCAATAAAAAAAGGACAAAAAATACTTTGTTTACTGCAACTACAACAAAAAATTACCTTCAGAGGAAAAAAAAACATCTTGAGAAACAGGGTTTAATAAGTCATTTTGCAACACAAATCTAACATTTCAAAGAATATTGCATTTTCTAATTAAAATCCACAGTTTTAACTATGGAAGTATTTTTTAATTAATAAGGTATTAAGATTTTAAAGACCTAAAAGCTCAAGCACAGATGAGCAAAACCAAAAACTTAAAAGAAAAGTGGGCAATTCCACGCTTTATACATGCTTACATAACATTTAGTTATGCCAAAACTAGCTAAGTAATCAGCAAACTGTAAAAATGGAAAAGGTCCAAAGTACTCTAACAAATACTACCTGTCAATCCAAGTTCTTGATATCGCTGCCACTTATACTTTCATCTCCGGCAATTTTCAGGAGTGGCCAAAAGAACAACTTAATTCCTCTCACTGCAGCACGCTGGGCTGGGTCACTGCTTAGACACGCGTGTGTTTGTGTGTGCATAGGTGTGTGTGCGTACATGCAGGAATGGTGTGGGGATAGGAAGAGGCGGAAGTACTGCAAGCTAGCATGATGTTGCAGTATCTCTCAGAGAAAAATATCAGCTCTGCCTCCAATTTTAGGTCAGTGCACTACTTCCTGTTTTAATCACAGCACATGATTCAAATAAAGGCTCGCTTTCACAGTTTCTAACCAAACACATGCTTTTTTCCTTTTTTTTTTTTTTTTTCAGAAGAAAACCAAAAGAAACCATTAAGAAAGGGAACTAACTTTTGAAATCATTGGATCGTAATAAATGCTAATATCACTTCCTGGTTGGATGCCGCTGTCAACCCGGACCTGGGAAAAAGAAAGAGAACACTGAGAGTAGCTTCATATTGTGCAACTTTTTAATCACAAATTTAATCTCCACGGACCACGGAGGAAACAGGAAGAAGAATTTCAATCTTGAATAACATTCCCACATCTGGAAAATAGGAAAACAGCCTAAACACACACAGAGACCAAACGATCCTGATCCATCACCACGTAGGTCAACATACTTCTTGCTCTCCAGTGAAGAAACAGCAAAAAACAAGAAACAAAACCACCGCTAGGCTGCACCCACGACTATACGAGGGTGCTGCTTCCACGTGCACGACAGCTCGGAGGACGCCCCCTGCCCCCTCGGAGGCACCCACCAGACCCTCCTGGCGAGGGCCAGGAAGCCCCAGCCAAGCGCCCCTCAGCTCCACAGGAAGGCAGGCTGGCCCCTTTCATGTCGGCAACACTTTCCTTCTCTTGCCTCTCCCTCTCCACTGTAAAACACTATTTTTCTGTTACTGTCAGTCCCCGAGGCTTTCATGTTTACACAGCTTTTCCCAGGGCTTTGCTTTGTAAGGACATAGCCCCAATTAGAGTTCTGATTTTGCGATTTTCATGGAGGGAAAAAAAAATAGCACCAGTTCAAAATATTCTTTTGAAGAGCCTGGTCGCCGTGAAGCAGCCAACAAGGCCGTGAGCACATCGCTTAGTCTTGTTTTCGTCTCCCAGTTTGACACCAGCAGTAAGGCACAGAGGTTAGCCATGTAAAACTTTTGAAGTGAGCAGTTGCTAAGGACAGAATATTTATTAAATTATTATGACAAAGTTTTGGAATCTGAAGTATTTAAAAGTCAATCAAAATACTTAAGCCTGCGAAGCCTATCCTGGGGTTCTTGAGGACAGAGGACTGGAATGGAGGCTGCTGCGAAGGCAGGCCTCGGCCGCCCAACCTGGCAGAGGGGTGGTGGGAGCACAGGAGCCCCAGTGGCTCTTCACCTGTGGGGAGACGCCTTCTCCGGCAGCGGCAGCTCGCCTGTCTGCAGCCAGGCAGGAAAAGGTCAGCACCGCGGCTGGTAGGCCTTTAATATTTTAATTTAGGCAATTATCAGGGGACCACATGTAGAACCTCTTGTCTAGAATATCCACATGAGGGTATGATGATGGCTTTATTAAACAGTGACATCAAAAGATAAGCCATAGTTTCATTCTCTTTAAAAAAAAAATCACACCACTATTACTCTCTTTGTAAGGTTTTAAAAGGTAACATTATAACATACCCAGAGGGCTTGTATTTCTGTATTTCCAAATATAAATATGGATATCTGCATTCGTATTTACTTCCCTACGTGAACATTCAGCACACTTAACAAAATATATTAGCTTCTTATTTTCTCAACACACACTTCAGTACACAAAGTTAGGTCCTATGCAATTCAGAATGTTGACTAAAAACTAGGAAAGACTTAATGCGGTATCTTTGAAAGCATTAAAATTACAACCAACTTCTCCCCATATTTAAATAGGCCCCAAATGGCAACTGAAGATGCCCGAGAACTTTCATTTTCTTAATTTTAGCACCAAAAAACTTAAAGAGCTCATTTTATCATCACTGCATCTTTAAAACCATAGCTTGCTTAGGAAAGCTTTGTTTAAAACTTAGTACAAATTTAAAAATTCCGCCTTCAACCCACTATAAAATAGCAGACAATAAAGAGTATTACTCTCTCTTATTTAGTTCAGAACTTAAAATTTTAAGTTACTTTCAATAATACCATTCCAAAAGTTAAGCTACCCAGGACTCCTAGATGTAACTGTCTTTGGTGTTTACTAAAATTATATTCAGATTATATATATTCAGGTTAATATATTCAGATAATATATTTTCAGATTAATATAAAATTATATTTGTCATTTTAATTTTAAAATACTTGAGGTAAAATCAACATTTTTTCTATATATAATCACTATGTATCTTTGTGTAAGCAATCAATATTTGCAATTTAAAAATCATAATAAAGCAGGAAATTTTCATGCAGCTTTTTCCAAATAATAATCAGCTATATTTTATCTCTAACAATCAATTGAAAGTGAAATGAAATCTCCATTCCTCCATGGAAATAAAGGATATATGAATTTCTATTAAAAGCTTCAAGATAGAGTCAAACAGAATTGGAACCAAATTTCTGAGGTGAAAACTATTCAAAATAACAAATTTACAAAATGCAGTGGTCAAAGATTAAAAAGCAAATATGAATCCTTGTCACATTAAATAAATTTAAACCTTAAAGATGGATGTGCCAAGTACAAATCATAAGTTAACCTTAAAGTATATATTCTTGTGACCAAAAAAGGTGAGAGCCAAAAATGGTTTCCCAAGTTGAACTGACGGATCCAGTTTAATACGGCAATGAGGGAAAACAAAACCAACCACAACAAAAATACTCAAGCACCTCTGTCTGAGACTCTCAAACTAGTGCTCAGAAACCTTGAGCATAATTAAAATTTCTTTCTTCAGTACCACAGTGGACCCAGGACACTCTCAGACATCTCCCACCCTTCATTCTCAATTCACCTCTCCCCCTAAGCACAACTCCCAGCCCGCCATGTCTACCTGACAAGTGACAGCCCAATCTGATTAAATGCTTCCAAGGGAGGGGACTCGTGGGCTTCCATGACAGGCCAAAAGTGATCACCATGGAGATACATAATTACAGCTGTCAACGCATCTACTGTCCTGCTGACATCAATTTGATTGCTCCCAGCAATAATGATAGACAAAGCTTAGCGTGCACTCTCCTGCACCCAATCACTTTATCTATTCCTTGGTCCATTTAGCTGACATGCAACATTCACACAAGCAAATAACAGCAGTAAGCAGAACATTTAAGGCATTTTAATTGTTTTTCCTTTCTATGGATGGCTCACAACTGCAAATGTTATTACATAAAACTCCTGCTGCAGCATTAATTGAAGAAAGATTTGGTGGGACAAAGACTGTAGGGGGTATAGTTTGTCCATTATCACTTGTACTTTCAACAGGTCTCACGTTTGAAAATTGCAAATTGCAAAAACTTGCGAGGGCAAAATGTTTGACATCCTGTTAGCTATTACAACATGGTGAAAACTTCTAACAACTAGAGTAATCATTATGAATTCTTATTTAATACTTTTTTGTTTGATTAAAAAAGTATTTAGATATGTCCCTATGATACTTGGTTTCTCATCTGCTATTTAACATCACATAATGCCTGTTAAATCTTTACAATTTTTTTTCTGCCTCCAGGCTTTGAACACAGCATGGAGCCTCCAAGCCTAGAAAGGGTCAAGTCCCTTTAGAAAGCACATGGGCAAAAACAATTTAAAAAGTGAAATAAATCATATATCCAATAACATCTTCAAATTTAGAATTCTTCCTGTAATCTTTCACCATCTTCTTGCCAGTAATCAAACTGAATAATCATATTCACAGATGGTATAGCCTTGTCATCCACTAGCTAACATAATGTCACATATATATGCACTTATTACCTTGATTAAGAAAAAGGGTATGTCCTTGTTCTTTTTATGCAGCAAAAACTATTTAAAGAACAGTTACTAAACACAGACAAACTATGTAATAAAATGCACAGTGATCACTTTCTTTAACTTATGCAAATAGTATGTACTTCTTAAAGTCCATGATGGTTAACAGAGAGTGGCACACTTTGTTTTCCTTAATCCATTTCAATTAACAAGCTGATTTTGTGTTTGAAAATTCTTGACACCTGACTATATGGGGAGATGAATTAGATTTATTGAAAAAGATTAAACATTAGCACAAGAAATTCATCTTTCCTTCTTAAGTTTTCATGTTCTTCTTAATTACAATTTTCTGAAATAACTGGTAGCACTGTAAACTGTCATCAAATGTTTCAGGATTTGCTCTGTCAATTCTGACGTTCCTGAACACCATAAAATAGATTTAAAAATTTCTTAACACAAAAAATTGTGATTCTCCTTGAATTTCATTTGTCCTTCAATTTACACCCTTTGGTGCTGACAGGCTTATAACATAAAAGTACAACATAAATCAAGACTTTAACCCCTCAGTTGGTATTAGAGCTTAATGACTTACACCAGGTAGATGTATTGGTTCTTGGTACTGAGACAATCTCCCAACAGACGGTAAACCAAAAGACTTGTAGGGGTCCTGAAAGTTCAAAGGCAAGGAAGCACAGTCTTTGAAATATAAATCAGCACAAGTAAGGTTAAATATTTATATAATGAGAAGCAATTACAGGTCTATTTTCAACATACGGTATTTACCAAATACTATTTCTGATTATTACTGTCTTATACTCTCGACAATTTAGAAGTATATTTAAAAATCAAGTGGAACTGTAAGCAGAATTTAGCTTGACTTTGATTATACTTTATTGAAATTGGTAAAATTCCAACTTTTTATAAAACTTATTAGAATGCCTTGGGCAAAAATAAAATAACCTAGGCTCTACATCAAAACATACTCAAGTTCAGAACAACAAATGTGGCGCGCTAAAGATATTTGTTTTTCTTGCTTCTCAAAACAGCTCACATATGGTAAAACTTGAGAATTTGGGTTCTTCAAATAAAGACCTAACAAGAAACTTTGCACATGCTACTAGATAAGTATTCCATTTATAAATATATCAGGATAAATATAAATCCAGTGTCCTAAGAATACCACTTAAAATATTATAAAAAATAAAAGCAGTAATAACCATGCTAAGACATATTTTTAAGCTCCTTAAAAAATTTTCTGAAACTTTCCATTTTCTTAAACACCAGTATTGCTGATTCATTTTTCAAAATTTAGACATTTCAATGTCTAAAACACAGGACAAATGTTTCCTTGAACTCTATTTCAATCATTTGAAAAGAGCGTTTTAGATGTTGATAGCTTTACTACCTAATTTAGTTAATAAATAATATAAAATTAAAACCCATAACTAAAATTGTGAATTAAGCATATATGTTTTACTAAAAGATTTATAATTAAAATTTTTTGTGTAGTGATAAAGAATAGAATTATTAGAAAAGAACTTTTGGAAAAAAACTTTAAGTACATATCAAATCAACAACATGAACTCAAAACTGCCTTTTGAAAAATCCACAGAAATAAATGCTATTTTTTGCTAATGTGGTTTGAAAGCAAACACAACAAAAACCTAGGGTTCATTCAAGCTTAAGAAAATTTACCTTTTATATGCTGCATCTTAATGGATTGGAAATATTTTCCCATCCAGAAATATGAGAAAAAATTAAACTTAATTCCTTAAAACTATTTTGAATTCTGTCACAATTTTCTATTCTTCATCTGGCTTAACTAATGGATTACATAATCAAACACTTGACACAAGTTTTAAAACCTTAACTTTAAAAGGTCTTGTGACCCTGGACACAACCACCACCCTTCCTCCCAACATCACTCATTTTACCTCAGCATAAACCCGGCATTCAACTGCCCAGCCGTTGATGGGAATATCAGCTTGTTTGTGCCTGAGAGGGTAACCCTTAGCAACACGGATCATTTCTTGGACCAGGTCCAGGCCAGTAATGCATTCTGTGACAGGATGCTCAACCTGCAAGGCCAAGATTTGCTCGTCAATAGCTATAGAAAAACGTAAATACACAGAAATAAAAAAGAAAAATGGTAAGAGTTTCTGGGTAAGATAAAGTTAATTACATTTAATCATACGTCACTAAAAAACTCTCCAGCTAGGAGAATAAAAAGAGAAATTAACTATAGTACCCAAATCAAACACAGAATAAAAATCTGAAAAGTATTTGTAAACTATTACTTTTCCCAGTTTTGATTTACTTGTGGTGCAACAATGTTTAACAATTCTAACTTGAAACTAATTCTTAACTGAAACACATATTTATTTTGCTGCAAATTCTCAATGTGGCGGATAATCAACCTATTCTGCTACACTTAACATGGCATCTAGAGGGGCAGCTTATGATTTTCCAAAGCGCTAGTCTACCCGGAGTCTCACCCACTCGCCTGCTTTCACTAACCTGTCCTGACAAGCAGCCAGATTAGCGTACTCCTGCATCAAAGCAGTGTAGCAGAAAAGAGCAGATGGATCCTTCAGGTTGCTCTCCCTCCAGACTGACTTGCTAGTGCTTAGCATGCACAACAGCAAAACGGAACTAGTGAAATCACTCTGCTCTCTCCGTAAACTGCTGAGAACCCACTGTGGCTAACGCTGTCACGGGAGCACCTGTTCTTCCAACTAACACATGGGATACGTATGTACAAAAACATGCACCGACAGACAGGAAAAGGGATACATGTCATTATAAACTTGATCACTCACAAACTCATCAACTTCAGTTAAAATAAAGCCTCGCATGATACTAGAAAAGAAAGGATACTCTGTCACACAAAACCTTAAGTTCTAAAAACCTAAATAGAATTTTGGCCACATCTGCTGCTTTGATACTAATTTTTTATTGTAAAAATTATGTATGTTCCAAATGCTCTTCACAATAGTTTCTTTATCACGACATGTCATATTCCATAAACTCTGACACAGGAAAAGGTCAGTGAACAAACAAATTATCCCCCCATCTTCAACTACACTAATTGAAGGACAGGACTTAGTCATTATAATAATCTTGAAGCTTATCATAAGCAGACAATGCCATGGTCTTAAAAAAAAAGCTTTGTAAAAATAAACAGATGGCATCCATAATTAGCTCTGTGTGTGTTATGAATTTGTTTACAGTTTCAACAACATTTTAAGACATTTTGACATAATCTTAATGACAAATCATCACTAAAATAAGCATCTACCCTTTGAAAAATAAATGCAACACTAAATAAAGATCTTATTAGTTTAAATATATATTTTTGAAAGCAAATTATGAGAAACAAAACTATACGATACATTTCTAAGAAAGGAGCAAGCATGAAGTGCCTCTGCCATTGCTGGGGGCCAATGTCCTGTGAGAGGGGCTCTGTACTCTCCCTGCTTGGGAGTGAGCCTACTAGGAGCCAATGTCCTGTGAGAGGGACTCTGTACTCTCCCTGCTCGGGAGTGAGCCTACTAGGAGCCAATGTCCTGTGAGAGGGGCTCTGTACTCTCCCTGCTCGGGAGTGAGCCTACTAAGAGCCAATATGTCCTGTGAGAGGGGCGCTGTACTCTCCCTGCTTGGGAGTGACCCTACTATGAGTCAATGTCCTGTGAGAGGGGCGCTGTACTCTCCCTGCTTGGGAGTGAGCCTACTAAGAGCCAATGTCCTCTGAGACAGGGATCCACTCTCTCTCACTATGAGCCAAGTCTCCATATCAGTGCTGTTCACACAGCCTTTTTGGGTGAGAAAAAAATGTTAAATGAATGAATCGATTTCCTCTTTCTATGACAAGTGCCCTTAAATGTATGTACTGTATATCAGGCAAATAACTAAGCACTGAAAGAATGAATGAGCAGCAAATCCGAACTCACACCTATGTAAATGTTTGGGAGAGGCTGGAGTTACGCAACCCCAGAGATGACATTACCTTTGTGTCCTTCTAAAGGGAGAATGTATATGAAAGCATATACTACACAGAAACAGGTGTACAATTATGTGCCATTCATAAAATACACAATTACTGTCTTTTGTAAAACATACTGCTATGAAGGCTTACAGAATTGAAATTTATTATGAGGCTCTCTTTTGTGCTGTTTTACCTTAGAAGATGTCTCTCTAACTGCATAACAAAAGTCAGTATATGAGATTCACATTGAATAGGTTCCAAAAATAGACCTACTGTGATTCAAACTTAGTTATACAATTTAGTTATATAAACTAAATTAGTAAGCTCCAGGTAATTGAAAATATTAGTCATTAGGGAGATAACTAAAATCATGATCAACCTCTAAAAGTAAAATCATGACTTACAGAATGAAAACAAAACTAAGCAGGAACTCCAACTCACCTAGGTACAGGTATTGTCAAAGCCCACAGGATAGTCTGACATGTCTGACTTTTTCAGGTAAAAGCAATATATCTTAAGTAAAACTTATCATTTCAAACATTTTTTGAAAGAAATCTTTCTAAATACACATAATTCCTAAGCTACTCAATAGGATATATAAAACATTTCCTTTAGACTCTGTATTATTATTATTATTACTACTACTACTACCAAGAAACCTTTAAGTATCACATTATTTAAATAATCCCATATATCCCTAACTCACTCCCAAGAACCTGGCAGTAAGTTCCTTCTCCAAATTAACCCTAATTACTTCAGGGATCAGAACAGAGATAGACAAAGGAATGAGATGGCTCCCAGGATAACACATACTTTCACAGAAATTGTAAAAATACCTTTAAAAGGAAGGAAGGAAGAAATCAATGAAAAGTGAAGGTGGGTACCTGGAACAAAGGCTATTAAAAAAAAAAAAAGTGAAAGCCGACTCCTCAGTCAGTAGGATGTCTCCACACCTCCTTACTCCCCAAGAGCAGGAGCCTCTACAGCACTTCTCCTCCTTACTTAACCAGAGACCTCCTTTGGCTGAGTATCTTTGTAGACTGAGAATTCCATGGGGTACACTTTTGGAAACAATGCCTTAAGCACTCAAAATATAAAACGGAATTCCCTTTTTGGGACTCCATCCTCACTAAGCAAAGTTTTTGGCTTCATACGTTTTTCCCACCCAAAAGGAATGTGCTCATTCCATGAAATGCATGAAAAAAGAATCCACCCAACAGCATTATTTTCATTATAGATTAACATATCATCATTCAAACATAGAAATCTTCTGGTTTACTCAGCAAGAGTAAGCCCTAACTCTCCCAAACCAGAAGAAATCACACATGCAAAAAAGGAGCAAGTCCGACAAAGCTGGAAACTCTGAATTCTCAAAGAAAAATTACTGGGGCAAGCACTGTTGCACAGCAGATTAAGCTGCCATCTGGGATGCCAGCATCCTAATACTGAGTGCCTGCTCTGTGTCCCGGCTACCCCACTTCTGATCCAACTTCCCGTTAATGTGCACCTGGGGAAGCATGATGATGGCTCAACTACTTGGGTCCTGAGACCCTGATGGAGTTCCTGGCTCCTGGCTTCAGTTTCTGGTCCGGCTCTGGCTATTTCAGGTATTTGGGGAATGAACCAGCAGATGGAAGATCTCTGTCTACCACCGTGCCTTTCAAATATATAAATAAACCTTAAAAAAAAAAAAAAAAACCTGGCTGGCACTTTGATAAAGTAGGCTAAGCCTCTGCCTGCATTGCCAGCATCCCCTGTGGGTGTCAGTTCATGTCCTAGCTGCTCCTCTCCCAGTCCAGCTCTCTGCTTATGGTCTGGAAAAACCACGAGGGCCCTGTCTTAGTCAACATCAAATTGTCATCACTATCCATGTCAACACCTCTCTGCCACACCCTCTTACTCATCTATGTCTTCAAATTTGTCTCCCAGAAAATAACTGCACTTGATAAACAAAACACTGGGTTTTGTTTCACTTCAGAGCGCTTGAAGTAACAAGTTATTTTGTTTTTGTTTCTTTTTTACTAACATTCCCCCCTTTTTCAAGTATCAAGTTTAATGATAGTGAACTTAGAACAACTACCTCTTTCTGGCATGATCTTGAAACTTTTATAAACTCTGACAGTGCTTCTGTCATGTTTCACAATATTCTTCATTAAATACAAACAAGTATGCTAAAAACTAGAGAGTGAAAGTAAGATGAGATATTTGCAGAGTCTCAAAGTGTCTCCTACAAGGCTGTTTATTAATGCCAACGGGAAAATAGTAACTCCGAACTCTGCTACAGAGAAACACCAGACATGGCACTCTAACCAAGACGACGCCAGCAAGGCCTCGACGTGGTACTCACAGGATGTCATACTCCAGGCCAAGATGCCGAGGAAACAGACAACCCTAAAATAAGGGACAATGCATACAATACATAGCCAGTCTATGTTCTTCAAAACTGCCAAGCTCATAATTGACCCTAAAAGACCAAGGAAATGTTCCAGATTAGAAAAGAGTAAAGAGAGATGTTACAACTAAATGCAACATCTAATCCAAAACAAGTTGTGTTTTCTAACTTATTATAAAAAAGCAACTGTAAGAAGTGATGAAATTTGAATACAGCTTACAGCCTAGATGCTAGTGATATGTTAATGCTGAAATCCTGATTTTTTGATAATGGTATTACAGTTATGTCAAAGAATTTCGTGGTTTACAAAAGATCCAGATGCATTTAGGAGTAAAAGGACATTAGACCTATAATTCACTCTGGAACTGTTCCATGGAAAAGAAACGGGTGATAGAGAGAGTGTGCTAAGGTGTGTGTGTGTGTGTGTGTGTGTGCGCGCGCGCGCGCATTACAGAGAGAGAGAGAGAGAGAGAGAGAGAGATGTTATTGAAGAGTGTTCAGACCCTTACAATATTTTTGCACCTTTTAAGTCTAAAATCACTTCAAAATATAATAAAAGCAACGTCACTAGAAAGACTTCTGTTTTTCATACTACAAAACATTGCTAAAGATATCTGACTTGATCAACATTCTTTTCTTTTCAGTCAGAACCCTCCCACTGTGTTAAATAAAAAGTTACACAATAGGGGATAATTTGTTCA